ATGTGTGAATATGTTTTGTTTTATTGTTTTTATTGCTGTAGTATTTTGAAATCGAAGACTAAAGGTTTGGCAATAAAAAGTACATGAAAATCATAGTAAATTTTACAAGGTATCAATATAGACATTATGTCTTTCATTACTCGAATAACGCCTTTTGAAAGTCTTGTGAATGAACTTTAAATTATGCATATTAAATGAAGTTTTTGTCTTGCCGTTTAAAAACTTATCGATGAACATACAGCAACCCTTTGGTAATATAGCCATACGAGCATGTATCCAAATTATCTACCACGTCATGATATTTAAGACATTAAATAATATCTTTCATAACTGAATTTAAAGAGTGTTACATTAGACAGCTGCATTTATAGTTTTCTAATACTCACGCAAACCCGCATACCGTCCATTGTAAACGAAACACATAAAGACAGACAAGTTTTATTGAGATACATTAAAGTAAGTACCTTAAAACAGGCTCCTGATTGTTCGATGTTGAATACAATAAAAATGCCATTAAACAGTTTCTTGATTATGTCATAAGTTTATATTGTGCCAAACAGAAATACTTTTTATAATAAAGTTTTTCTAAATTCAATTTATTTTCGTTACATTAGTTAAAATGAAAAACAGGAGTTATGTTTGGTTGGGATTTATGTAGCATCAACACAGTACGCAACCTTCCAGATTTAATCGTAAAGGAAACCCTCAGGTGCCGAACGCACACATAAGTAAAACCACCGAAGTTCCTTAAGCCTACTGGATAGCTTTCTCACATATAAGAATCCACAGTCCTATAACCAATAGCGGCGGGTGGCATGTAGTTTTAGGTTACGAAAGACGCCCTTTAATGATATTTCATGGGGAAATTTACCCTAAGGCTTATACTTGTCATAGCTTATTGTTAAATTAATCATTATTATTATTTTCATTTTACTATTATTAATAGTATTATTATTAATTATATAAAGGTCCTGGTTAACTTTTCTCTTTGTAGGGTCTTTGACGCTTAATTGACTAGGTTTCTTCCTTGTAGTTTGGAAAGATTATTGACTTTGAACATTGCACTAACCTCATTAATTTCATGACATAACATATTAAGTTCACATCTACTTTCATTGCATGACCTATTAAGGCTCACCGAATAATACATATTTCATGCGTATCTTAATTCTTACGTGACGAATGCTATTTCTTTTTGAACCCTATTATTGCATTTCTTTTTTCTTTTTTCTTGTCAATGAACATTTAATGAGATTATTATCGTCTTAGTTTATTTTCGTTTCCAATTAATTAGCCTTTTTATTTAAGCATACGCAGTAAATGGAGATCAAGATTCTTAGAAAAGCTGTTTGATCTCGTGTAAATGGCTACAAGCTCAAATAAAACAGAAATGAAGTACCCGCTGTTGGTTTTTTGCTGAATTAAGTCTGGTTCCATTTTTTGCGTGATCTATACATAAAAGGAATCGATCATAAATTTAGTGTTCATAACCTATTAAATGAGTGTTATTGTTTACAAATGTCTTAATATGCGACTTGCTTGCCTGGCAAAACTGAAAGCAAAAACAATTCGTTATTTTCTTTTGGTTATTTAGACAACAACGCGACCTGAATTAGGTTTGCTTATGCGTTCATAAACGAATGTTATATGATCTTCAACTAAGAATCGTACCGCCTCCGTGGTCGAGGGGTTAGAGTCGATGACTTGTAACCCAGTTACCTCTCTGGCGTGGGTTCGATCCCCGGGAGATGCTTTGGTAGTTTAGCGCGGAGGAAGGTAGTCTAGTACTGGTGTAACTCTCCAGGAACGATGGTTAGGAAACTACCCGCCTATATGACTGAAAAACTGTTGGGAAAAGGCGTAAAATGAAACAAACAAACAAACAAAATCAACTAAGAATCAATAAATTAATTCTGCCATGTCGCATTCGGCTTTTAATTGGGTAACATCAGAATAGAGCTTCAAAAATATAAACTTTGAAACATGCTATTTGAGAAAGGTTCTTATTATTTATCATGTTTATCACGTAATAATATACATGTAGGTTGAATTGGCGTATTATTATAATGATATATTAAAATATCTTTCCTTAGATACTTCAACGCATAGATTTTAGATACAGAATATGATGCATAACCTTATGGTCCTTGTGGTCTTCTACATTGATATTATATATTACATATTAAACATAACCCGGGTGCCTACTGATTTATATACTAGAGATTTTAAGAAAACACATTAAGTCCTTCTATGTATAACATTAGGAAACCCAATGCTGTCAAAACCTTGGTATCACAGATCGCCCTTACCTGGGTCACTTGTATTTTATTAAATTGGTAAAGGTAAATATTGTCACAAATATTTTCGTCCGATATAGCAATCTTTAGAGTCAAGATATTTGGCACTCCCAATGAGAGCGTCTTACATACGGCAATACGAAGTTAGGATCTGTCCTTGAAATGGATATCAAATGACCGGTCTAAAACCACCCTTGCGATTTCATATTATTCTTACCCAAGCTATTTTAGGTGAATACCTGTTATTGTAAAATTAATATTTACAAAATCTTCAGCAGCACAATAAGTATGATCTGTTATTTTACAGGAATAAAGCAGTAACGGAATAACTGACAGGATGATAAAGCAAACACAACAGGAATAAAGCTATCAAAATATTTCTGCAATAACTGTTACAATAAGATGTATATTTGTTTTAGTTTATACAGAAGCTACATTAGGTTGGTTTATGTAGGATATGATGCTAATTTCTGTCGATTTCGTGTCTTCGTATCTTCGCCTCTCTATAGCCGAAGGCGAAAACTTGGAAACACACTAACATTCATACTTATCGTGTCTTCGTCTTCGCCTTTTGAGGGTACCTGCACCAAGACACGATACATTTTTTACGGAAAAATAATATTTTAAATGGTAAAGACATGGGATCTTCTGTAAAATTATCGTGTCGGTGGGTAGAATTCTTGTATCGGCGCGCTAAATTTGTGGTGTCTACTAACACCAAAAGGCAATGTTATGATAATTGACCAGTTTATCGTGTATTCAACTTTCGTGGCGAAGACATGACAATATAAGGACTCGCTTAACTGGCCAAAGACATGAAGAGGTGGAATGGCAGAAATCAGCAACCATAGTAGGAGGATTTAAGCTTTTAAGCAAACTAACCACTAGGCTAGCGACCCTTATATTGCTTGTCCGACGCATCTAATCCTGGACCATGCCAAATCAAAATAGTTTTCTCAACATGATCCAAGTAAGTTTCGTGTAACGTTCATTTGATTACAAATACATTGATTATGGTATTTGGAGTATTCAAAAACAAGCGTGTCGCTCTCTATATATTTAAAAGAGGACTGTTAAGAGTATCATTACATTAATTAACTAAATAAATAGTTTGAAGAATTATTGTAAGTCACTTGCCAATTTTCATACTTCTTTAATAAATGCTTTATTAATTAAAACATGTGGAAAAAATGTTTTATGTCAATTATTATGAACAAATACAAACAATAATTTCAAAAATACAGGATTACTTTCCATTTTTAGTAGATAATTATCAAGAAAAACGTACAATGTATTGTTAAAATATGTTAAGAAATGTTATAATGTATTTACATTATATGCACTTGTCTCAACCGACACCATTGCTTTTTATATCCTGTTTATAGACTTAAAGCAAAAGCAAATGCTATTGTTTTGCTTTGCCCTTGTACCATTTCCTGTTTTTGTTCGGTGCACTAAATTGTTGATCATTTTTTCTCATATTTTTAGCTTGCAACTGATTTTTATGAACAACAATGGCATCCTATATCCATTAACAACAAATTGATCAGTCGCTGTAAGTTGTTGCCAGTTTTACGCCTCATATATCATGATTACTTCAATTATAACGATGCGGCAATGTTTCTTATCAGATGCATCAAAGTTGACCTAAATTCATATAAGAGTTGATATGGCCTATAGCAAAAGACGCCCACGTAATCAATTAGTTTTGTACAAAAGATATAAAAATAATCAGTAACGCACTTATGGCAAATGAAATACAATGTACTCGAGTTTCCGAAGTGTTCTGTGTCAATAAGGTTGACAATTTCATTATCTTTCCAGTTTGTGATGTTATATCTAAATTCTTTGAAATTAAATAAGTATGTCTTTTCAAAGTAATTCATACATTCAAATGTGTTTCTATTCATAGTGAAGATAACATAGTTTATTTTAAGTAATAAATGAAACTAGTTTAACTCTAACACATGAGCTTATTTGTTACAACGTTCATTGATTATCAGTTTAGTGCTAATTGGTGTCAATAGTGTTAGTTCAACTGTCAAATTCTTATCTTAAGAATTATTATTATTTATATTTGTAAATATGATATTAACAAACAGAATAATAATACTCTCTCTGAAAGTCGCATTTACACTTAGATTCCTAGTAGAAACAAATGTACAGTATCTAGATTTCCAGAAGAACATAAATGATTCTAGAAAGGTTTCTCTCAGACGTGAGCTACAGTCGTAAAGATGACCATTAACCTTGCACTTAACACTTGGATTAAATGGAAAAAAGAAAAAACGAACCGACAAACTATTTCTATGTAATATGTTATTATATTATGTTATTATATTTTAAGATAAATTATGTTATCAGATTGGCAGGTTAAATATAAATGATGAAGTAACATAGTTTAATAAGATTGATAATAACAATCCCTTACAAAAGTGACATAACATGTTCCTGCAATTTTACGTTCATCGCAAGCACCTTATATATTCCATTAGCTTGAAGCGGGTAGATTTCATATAAATGCATTCAAATTGTATGTTAGTTGGTTTCTATATGATTTATGCAATGGAAGAAATGTTCCCGAATATTTTCAAGTTTTGTCAATTTCAAATTCTATTTCAAGGGAAACAATTCTGTATCAAACATAAGCTTATTGGAAAATTGTTTCATTCATAGCGCCAATCAAAACGCGTAGGCAATACATAACATTGCTAACTGTCGCTGTCTTGTGAAACATTGCGTTTTGTTCTGTCTATTTCTATTGAATATAAGATTCAGATGAAACATTAACGTTGGATCAATGTACAAACAATTATTTTAAAGACAATATTGGATTAATTGGAATAATGCAAAATAACATCTAAGGTTAGTGCATGAAGGCAAATAAAAACAAATTAGCTGATCGTTTAATAAGGCTTCTGTTGTAAGACGATAAGATAATTCAGAGTGTTCTTTAATTGTTTTAAAATCAAATGCTTATCAATATATTATCACAATAAGGCATAAATGTATTTCTTTTCTTTACGAATAACGCACAGTTTTTTTATGTCATTTGTAATTGTTTAATAAAGAATTTAGAGCATATGGCAAAAGAAAGTAGCGTTAAAAAGTCTGAAAAAATATTTCATAAATTCAACAGAATTCAAACAAAGTGGTATTTTGACAACAAATTAATAAATCACTATAATTACTGTACCAATTGCAAAGTTAAGCTCTATGGTTTTATTTCCTTTACAATTCAATATCAAATAATGTTTGAAAATATTATTTTTACAATAATTATCCTGAAATGAATAATAATATATCATCAGTAATTGACAATTAATTTGATATATTACGTCTGCTTGTAGTCTGTATTTAAGAATCTGTTTTACATCCGTCTTAAACGATTTCATAATTCTCATGTTCATGTTTCAAAATAACCTTAAGCAACTTTCAAAAATATTATCTGTAATGAAACTGTTGTCGTTGTTGTTTTTCTGTTGTTGTTGTTGTTGTTTTGTTTTTTTTTTCATGTTTCTTTTTGGTTGTTTTTTGTTTGTTGGGGGTGTTTTTTATATTGTTGTTGTTTTTGTTGTTGTTGTTTTTTTTCTTAGTAACTATACGTATCTGTTTACCTGTACCCAAACACTGTTTGAATTATTATAAATCTGCATCAATAAATTAAAATAAATCAGCAATAATAAAAACACACAGATTAATTTTGCATTCAAACACTTTGACTTTATCTTATTACAATAAATTCATTTTGCACGAAATTAAGCAGTGTCGCGGTTGAAACGGTTGTTACTGCCAGGATATTATGAAAGTTTACAAAAAGAATTATATGATTATCTAAGACTATGTAATGAAGAACCGAACTTTCATAATATATTTATTTAGAAGTATTTAAGATTTTAACTAAAATATATTACCAATAAATAAATACTCTTAATAAAATCAGTTACATATGTTCCTAAGGTAACAAATAGACGCATTTCCTGTGAATTGTTTTTTAGAATCCATGAACTTAAAGGCTTTACTCTGACTGACTGTTCCTTTGTGTCATTTATACGTTACTGTATCTCATTTAGGTTGATTGGGAAAGCAATAAATTGTTCAATTAAATGTAGTATCAAACATTGTGATTAACAAAATGACAACAATATTTAAGTTAAAATAGCCATATCTATGTACTCAGATCATTATTTCTCTGTTTTATTTGAATTAATCTATTACATTTATGTTGGATTTAAAACACTAATCATCAAATTAAGCAAGTTAATTTAATTCCCGATTAGTATCATGTTTTAACAGATGTTTTACAGCAAATGTTAACCTGTCTTATCATGTCAGATATCATTCAATATTTTATCGACGTTTGGCAGATAGATATCTTTTTACAAACCATTCCCAACTGTATCGTCATAATATTCGATCAGCAATTTTGTAACCATTCTTACATGTTGGCTACCAAACCAATGTTAATGTGAAGATTCGTGCTATCTATACGAAGCCCACATTTATGTCTCCATATTTATAAACTTTATTATAGTCAGACACGCTCTTACGCCAATTTTACACACGAGGGTCGCCGGTGTTTCATAACGATAAGAACAAAAACAATTTTGATGCTTTTTTATTTCTTTTGAAACTATTCTCTGATTCAAATTTTGGAATACATAAACTTTTTTGCAACTTTGATCCCAAGTTTGAAAGGTATCACAGATTTTAGTTCTAAACATTTTTTTTAAACTTATATTTTGTGTACATAAATTGTTAAACATGGTAACATAATATGCTGTTTAATACTAAATTTATCTAAGGTTTAATAAAAATGTGTTCAATACAAATACATCAATTGCTAGGTAAGTGACTCAAAGTAAGTGAGATCAATTTGAGTCACTTACCTAGCAGTTGATGTATTTGTATTGAACACATTTTTATTAAACCTTAGATAAATTTAGTATTAAACAGCATATTTCAAAATATGGATAAAAGAATGACTATACAAATAGACTTTTAACATTAATGTTTTGATTTTTTTAACTATATAACCTGACAAGATTCGTTTATTGTTCAAAGAAACCGTAAACAACGAACAAAAAGGGGTCAAAAGTATCTCTTTAATACTAATCTTGAATACAAACTATTCACACAGAATAATCATGTCTGTTATACAAATGTACGCAGTTAATCTTTGATTCCAAGATGATAAACAAAATCAAGGTTTCCATCGACAGATGATAGATCCTTAGCATTCACCTTAGAGCTTCTTGTTTTGAAGAGAATTTACGTTCGAATTCACTTAACAGTGGCATGAACACATTTTATGTGGTTTATTTAACCTATTTTTAGATAAAGATGGTAATCGACAGAGTGTGAATATAGCAATACTAAATCTAAATTAATCCTTTGAACTTTCTATGGATCGGATATAATTGGTAAGAAGGAGCGTTAAGCTAGGCATGATTTAAATAAATGAACTATAAATAAATACAAAATAGAAGATAATGTCTTCGTGTACTAAGTTATAAAACAATTTGAATCATAAAATGAATAGACATGCCATGTCCAATAATCTTTTTTTTCTATTTAGATGCATGCACTTACATTTTAGTATGTAAAAGAGTACCAGTATGTCTCAAAATAATTCAAATATAGTGTATTGTGGGCTGTTATGTATCAGTCGTATAGTCTGTTAAGAGATATTCACGAATATATGGATTCTAATGGAAAAAGGATTACGTCTGCTACAAATGGCTATTGGATTTTTTATTCATTCATAATACCAGTCGCAGATGGCGGACATCTAATAGCTATCTAATAGCTATCTATCGCTCCTTAATGCTACATTGTGTATTTGTCTCTATATATTACAAGTAAGCTTTAAATACTTAGAAGAATTGTTTAGAAACTTTGAAATTACATTGGATTTCTAAATAAAATTGATATATTGATAAAATTTTAAAAAGGTGAGTACACTCTAGTGAGACAAATATAAAATTTAAAAATATATAATTAAAAAAAAAGCGATTGCTTATATTTAGAAAAGTAATAAATCAAGCAATTTATGTATCTTGTTCGGATGCAGTACTGTTCATTTTTTTTATCTTTCTTTTTTTACAAAAATTTACCCAATTTACCATTTACCAAATTGTCTTTCTTTTTTTCTCGTTCGTCTGAAAAATCTACATTTTAGTTAATTGAAAGAAATGTCAGACATTAAAAAGTTTATTGTAAACCTATTGATATATTTTTCCGTGCACTCGAATATTGCAAAAACTAAATGTAGTTCACGTTGTTCAGAAAAAGACAAACACTGATGCTGACAACTTTCTCTTAATTTTTAATGCATACACAAAACATTTATCATATCAATTTAAGTGAGAAAAAGTCGCGATTTCGAATTGTAATATTTTCTGTGCAAGTCTTTTGAAATTAAGAAGAAACCTTGTTAAATGTGTATGTATACCTTTTGACTGAGGATAGTTTTTGCAATATTCAAAATAAGTAATGATTTTAAAATTATAAAAATAAAAGGTAAACTCGTCATAAAATGTCTTAATAAACTTACAGTTTGTCTTATAGTTTCAAAAATGTTTTATCTTTCATTTTCGACGATAATGATTTTATTTTCTCATAAAAATTGTGCACGCAAAGGTACATCAACACAGCAGAGACACACGCGCGAATGACGTAATTACATGAAATAACATTTGAAAAAAGTGTTCTGCATCTATAATTTATAGAAATGTGGTATTAAAGTATAACCTGAATAATATTCATAATATGAATGTTTGGTAAAAATGGCAATCGCAACTTGTATGGCTTTTACAGTTCTTCGGATAAGGATTTTGAACACAGGATAGACAGAACGGATGGGGTTTTTGGTTTATCCTACGCTACAAAATTAAAACATGTAAAATATTAGAAGTTACTGTTGGTAGAAACAAGAATTTGTGGGACGAATTTATTTCATTATATTATTTAATTCGTTTGCAAATTAGTGAATTCATTGATATTAAATTGAAACGTACATTATTAAACCATTTCTAAGATAATCACTTAACTGTGTCATAAGAGATTTTTAAAAAAATCGGGATTTCGGAAAGCGGATAATATCTACAAATTTAATACATTAATGAATCTAACACATATACCAAGTGTGCCATCTACTTTTATGTATCTTTTCTATAAATGATGATTACAAGTGTCTCATATAGTGAATCATTGACAAGAACAGCAATTGTACAACAATTTATAAACGATCGTTTTACAAAATGAAATGCATGGTACGGTCACTGTGTTCATATTCCTTTTTGTTTCTTGTTAACCCAGATTATATTGGATTACAAGATACCTGTTAGGTTTATCTTGATACGAATAAAAACGAACTTAGATTTTAAGATATACTTTTCTGATATATATTTTTTTATTTTGTGTGTGGTTTTCAAGATCTAATAATATTACACAAGAAAAAATCTGTAGAGCAGTACTTTTATCATACCTTCTGGAAAAATAATTCAATATGTCAATAAAGATATGTTGTATAAATTGTTATAGCATTCTTATCATATAAAAAAGCGGTAGTTTCTATGTGAGAGACGTATTATTTGCTGGTGTTTTGTTATCATAATGTACCTTTATAATCAGATTATATGGAAATAATTTCAGATATCAGACGTATCCGACGGCTGAAATAGGATTACATGCCGGGAATTAAATCTAACAATGGATTTTGTTCTTACTGAAAACGAATCACTTATAAGTGAAGGAAATACCACTGATCTATTATTTCAAGGTAAAATGCTATTTAATATTTTTTATGTAATCTTAATGATGATCTAACTTTCCTTGAACAATGCCCATTCATGGATTGATGTACTTTCATAAAAACGGACTGCATTTTTTTTTACAAAAATAAAATATTTACAATAAGATTATGATAACATTTATTGGAGTAATTTGATATCTTATTTAATTTCTCCAGGTATTTTCACTAACCATTTTTTATTTGTCTTTATTTTACAGACCTCCAATTGCCTAACATACCAAAATGGGGATTCTGGACAAAGTTTCTTTCAACTCCAATAATTGCTTTTATTGGTATTGTTGGCAATGTGTTATCATTTCTTGTCATGAAGACTAAAACATTACGTCATAAATCGTATTCGCACTATTTATGTGCCCTCGCAGTGTTCGACACTTTGACGTTAATAATTCGACAAATGGAAAGTGTAGATGAATATCTCGTATCACATAAAAAGACAGCAGGAATGTTTCAACATTTTAATGACAGCAGTTGTAAGTTGTATAATTTCATTGTACACGTAATCACATTAATGTGTTCATGGCTAGTCGTGTTCATGGCCATTGAACGTGTTATAGCAGTGTGTTTTCCGTTCAAAAAGGTCTACTTTCGGAAAGAAACCGGTGCAGCGGTAGCCATTAGTGCGCTTTTTATCATTGTGAGTTTCACGCAATCATTTCGATTTCTTATGATAGAGCATATTATCTACGATGATGAATACAATATCAGAGATTGTCTGGCGTCTGAGGAATACATAGAAATATATACCAGCTTGGATGTGTACTTTTTTCTTTGGACACTCGTGTTCGTGCTACCCGTGATCCTTATAATAATTTGTAATAGTTTTGTTCTTTATCATATATTCAGAGTTAAAAAAGATCTCTCAAAAGAGGAGAATTATCTTACGTATAGGAATGGTAGAGCGCGCGAACGCAGACATAGAAGCACTGTGATGCTATTAATAGTAACATTTATGTATATTATTACACTATTACCATTGTTCACACTTAGTTTAATCGTTGACGTAACAATCAAAGTCGGGTCACAGGAAAGAGCAAGAAACACGTACGTGGCATTAAGACCCTACATTGATATTTCTGTGTCTATCTCATTGCTAAATTATGCTTCTAATTTCTTTATCTATGTACTATCTGGAAAAAGATTCCGATTCGAGTTGCGGACACTGTTTGTCAAGAAAAAAGTTGTAAAAAGGAGTTTTACTGCAAGAAGTACAAAGGAATTATTGTTCAGACAAACAAGTTAAAAACACTGTCCATGAGTTAGCTTATTTAATTATTATTATATACTAGTTACAGTTGAAGAACCAAATTAATGTGATATGTTGTTATATATTTTTAAGCGCAAGATGCAGCATGTTAATTTGACAGAATTTGTATTTGTTTTCAACTGTTCATTTCCAATGTTGTTCAATTTTATAATAAATATTTATCAAGAAACAGTTTTTTTGTAACATTATAACGTTGTTTGAAAAACATCAGTTCTGCCGTTCAATGAAGATAAAAAGCCTAATCCATTACAATCATAACCTTCTTGAACCAAATTTAAAATGATCAGTCATTGTCACTAGTCACTAGTAGTAAAGTGTCAGGCTAAGCACATGCAGCCCAGCTTGCACAACTTTTCAATCGGACCTGGCTCAGTATTGTTGGTGACACAATTGATATTTAATATTCGTAACCCTTTGCTCAAAAATAAAAGCAAGGCAAACTATGTTCTTGAATTCAACAGGTTATTACAAAATGTCTATTGAATATTTTAAGAAAAGCACCATTCCATTTTAACATGGTTGTAAAGCAAAAGAGTGACAGACATTTTTTTTAATCTAACACACATTGAAAATCAGTAGTTGTTTATTAATCTATTTAATAAATTTAATAATTAATTTATTTTGGCATCAATTATCCATTCTTTTCTTACGGTGATCAACTGAATGAAAATTGAAGCGAAGATGACTTTGAAAATTAGATTTAGCTCGTCTGAAAAACAGTGCGGTATTTCTTTTGCATCCATCTAAGAAGAAACACTTAAGAGGTATTAGTACATAAATTTTAGCAGAATTGAAAAACTCTAATAAAATCAAAACATTCAAAATAGTAATTACGTAATTATGATACAATTATAAAATATACAAATATACGCTACAAATAAATTAATGTAAACTGTTATGTTCAGTTGTTATACTTTATTAACTATCAATTAAATGTGGCCTAAAGACCAGTATTAAAACATCTTATTACGACATTCGTATCAGGAAGTTGTGTCACTGTTTCCTTAAAGAAAATAAGTCTACATTATTTTTCAATATAAATTATATTTTCTCTTTAAAATATTGATAAAACAAATGTAATGTATCATTTGGATTTTTTTATAAAATTACACTTGACAAAATTATGTTGGCAAAATTCTAAGAGATTTAATATGAAAATTAAAATAATGAATAATAATATTTTGTTCTAGAACATTGCACTGTCTTCTAAGTGAATATATGCTATATCGGTGTTAAGTGAATATATGATATATGGGATCCTGTATCTCGCACTTACCAACAAGATTCGTTCATATATCGGGCGTGGTTTATTGCTATGACTGATACTAGACAAAAGTCAATGTAATTATTAATCGTGTAACTGACCTTTCAATTTAGATCAATTCATTTTAATGGCTGGAATCTTGCTGAGAAAAGGATTCTTAACCATATGAAAATCTGATATTTATGTTTTATGGATTTTTATGCCGCACGAAAAGTCTCTTGTCTTATACTTTAATCAACCATTAAAGCAATGCCTTTTCATCTAATGATGAAATACATACACCTGTGAAGAAAACGAAGGTGTGAAATCCATCTTCTTCGTGCCAAAGATATTACAATAATAAGTGTTCATTAAATACATATTCACTGTTATTTATTCATTTTATTTCACCTCTATAATCATTAACTGATTCAAACATTCATACTACTTAAGTTCATAAAACAGCAGGAGATTTACGAATCAGTGATATTGAGAAATAGTTATGGAACGCCTATACTGCCAAATGTGCTTTAACCATTATGTTATGTTTACTTATCATTATGGTATGTGCATTATCTCACTTATTGTGTACATATTGCATTACTTTATTTACAATGATCATCACTTACAGCATACTTGTAAACATTAAAATTCTTAATTGTGAAACTAATGAAACTAAGAGCAGAAAATCAAACAGAGTTAAAGAAAATATTATTTCTTGCATAAGATTTATTTCTGTTTTGTTGAATTTGTTGAAGCATTTAAATCACTTATATTAATATGTTTAAGTACCAAATAAAAACAGGTACTAATTTTGTTTGATGATTATTTCTGTATTTAAATAACAATAGAAATATATTGTATGTTAAAGAGCTATTAATAATAGGCAACTTACAAAAACGCATTTGCTAGCAGCACAAATACAAAAACTACACGAAAATAGTTTGTTGATGTGACCGATGGTTCTAAAATACATATTTTACGTTTAGTATTAAAATATGATATCATTTATGATAGACATCTGTGTTCATTTGTAAATCCATTTCCACAATCTGAGATTTCACTTAGATTGCTGGTGAATGATATGGCATTGTACGAAAAGTGGAAGACATGGAATTTTTAAATTTTGATTTTATTTTCAAAACAAAAAAAATAAAATCGAATGGCAACTGTTATGCCGGATTTCGTTTACGACACAGTTTTGATGTTTGGCGATGTCTTAATTGTTATCAAAATTGATTTTTTGATATAAATAAATTGTATTTGGAAACGACGAATATAACAATGTAGTATTTTTTATCTTTTTATTTTTTTTTCAAATCATATATTTTACATTGACAAGTAAACACTTAAATAGCATCCGCATGAATGTGAAATACACGGTCATAATTATGGAAATTCAATTATGTGCAAATAAGTTCTTTTATATCTTAAAGAAGTTTTAGAAAAAAATGTTCTCCTTATTTTACATTTAAAATGTTGGTAATAGTAATAACATTCACAATGACGAAAACTGAACATAACCGGTATTTTGGTATTAATTTAAAAAAATATATAAAGACATATAGGAAAAATTCATTCCATAATCGTAAAAAAATATTCGGCAGGCTAGTATACTGACTTGAATTCTTGAGATTTACAAACACCAAACATGACGTCAATGCATAAACAATACAGTCATGTATTATAGATAAAAAATTATGTTTCTGGAATATAACATGATTTATTGCATAATAATAATGACATAAATAATTTGGCCTTATATTAAATGACAATTTATTGCGGAAATTAAGATATTACACTCAGCACATTAAATGTTAAGCGAACAAAACAAATAGGAAAGCTTATAATTAAATGAAAGGTGTTTCACTTTTGGCATTTTAGATATTATTTTTATAATTATCATCATCATCATCATCATCATCATCGTCATTATTATTATTTATATTTATTATTATTATTATTATTATTATTATTTTCATCATCATCATCATTATCTTTGTGATTATTAGTAGTATCTTTTATCTTTTTTTATTAAAAGTAGTACGTTTATTTTATTATTATACAATAATAATTATAATAATAATAATAATTATTATTATTATTATTATTATTATTATTATTACTTTTGTTGTGATAATTGTTGTTGTTGTTGTTGTTCTTATTAATATCATCATCATCATCATTATCATATATTTAATTAGTAGTATTTATCATCATTTTTATAAGAAGTAGTACAATGTAGTAGTTAAAGCAGTAGTAGTAGTTGTATTTATATATTATTATTACTATTCTTATTATTATCGTTATTATTATCATCATCATCATCATCATCATCATCATCATCATCATCATCATCATCATCATCATCATCATCATTATCATCATTATCATCATCATTATCATCATCATTATCATCATCATCATCATCATCATCATTATTTTTATTATTATTATTATTATTATTATTATTATTATTATTATTATTATTATTTTCAATGTGGTTTTATAAACTTTTCATATTTTTTATTTATGAACGAACGTGCTTTATCAATCCAAACCAACATTTATTAAGATGCGTTCTTCTTCTGTTGTTGTACATCTAAAAATAATTTTAAATAGTGCGCAAATTTAAGAGGTAATTAATGCAATAAGTGTTCAATCTTATAAAGTGATGTTCTAAGTGTTATGTGAAGTGAAATAGCAATAATTGCATTTTCTCCAGATTTATGGATGTTGAACCGTCAATCAAACTGATGTTATTGCATTTTTATTTCAATTTTATTACAAAAATTGTTGGGTGAAATGTTCCAATGTAAATACCAACAAAACCCTAAACATTAGTTTAAGTATATATAGTTTAATTATATGAAAAAAGAAAACATAAAAAGTAACAAAACTAAAATTTATTATAGATACTTCATGATGATTATCTATTCATCTTGTCGAAACTTTTTACACTGTATATAAAACAGAATAAATACCACGGGAATCTTCATAGAGATAAACATACAGTTTTAGATGTATAATTAAATTAGCGGTTGAATTTCCACAATTACTTACTCTCTCGCTGTAAGAGGCTGCTATATACGTAACAGTTCTTTTTTATTTTCTATCATCAACTTGACGATTAAACTGAGGCATTAGACACATGAAGCCATATACATATCTTACATGCCACTTTACATTGTGACATATGTTAAATAAAAACAGTATTCGCAAAAATTAGTTTAAAAGTTTTAAGTAGCGCACTTTGTCGTTATAAATCTGGTTAAAATAATGCTGTTTAAATTTCAAAGTGTCCTTGTAAATGCAGAACATTATCAATGCTTTGAAATGGAACAATTCGCAAAATTAGCAAGTTCTTTATTAGACCCGTGTTCTCGTGATGACCGCTTTGTAATAGCCAAACTTGTTACTTATTGTAGCCGGTACAAGTTTTTAAAAGTCATTGAAAAAAGATTGTAAGATTTTTGAATCATCTAATTTTCTTAATGTTTTTTTTGTTTTTTTGAAACCTTGTTTTTATTTTCGAAACTGAAGTTGCTTTACATTTCTTGTATCGTCACTGCATGTGTATGAATTATAATTATATCAGATGTCTTTAGTGTCATTTAGTTTTGAAATGTATGAATTTAATTATTTGAATAACAATTCTTACATTTCTTTAAATATTTTTTTCAAGTTTGTACCAATTACAAAGCAGTGTCTCGTCCATCTCTCGTCGTATCCGTGTTAGTGTTTTATTATTATAGTTCATATCCTTTCTACGTACTTAGATACATAAGGAAATTGAAAAATATAAACATTTAAAACTCCTTTTTACGTGAAAAAGGATCAAAGTATTCAAGACGTTTAGAAACATTGAACATCCATAATATGTAATATTTCTGTTAAAGACATTAAGGAAATGATTATAC